CTCCGCCTCGCCCCCCGCGCCCGCCCGCATTGGCTGAGCCGGCGCCGGGCGGAGCCGAGCCGAGCCAAGCCGCGCTGCTCTCCCCGCGCTCCCCCCGGCCCCGAGGCGTGCGGGCGCGGGAGGGCTGGGCTCTGGCTCCTCTCGGGCGGGGGTCCCTCCTCCTGAGCTCTCGGGCTGGGTGCTGGTCTCTGCTGGCACCCCGGCAAGGCCTAGAGCAGGGGCAGGCCGGGCTGACCGTGTCACTCGTGGCCCCAGGGCAGGTGCAATGCCGCCGCGGAGGACTGGGCAGGGCTAGGGTTAATAAGAGCGACCTCCCACCTCCCAGGGGCTCAAGGAAGCAGCATTGGGCTAACGATCTCCATGCTTTGGAGACTTGGAAGTCATCGGCATTGCCATCTTCCCTGTTACGAATGGGATGGGGTCTCAGCCATCAGGGAGCGCGCAGATGTCCTCATCACTACGTGCCTGGGTTCAATTAGTCCTGTCCCTGTTGTTCCTTTCTGTAGAGGCTGGAGGTGGGACAGGACACGGACGTGGCGCTCTCCCCCGCAGCAGGAGACGCAGGCCGAGGCCGCTGAAGAAGGGTCCCTGCTGTCTGCCCTGCATGGACTCCACTGGGAGTAGCCACCTGCAGCTCCCTGCTTTGTGCTACGCAGGAGGTGAGGCTCGTGCTCAGGGCATCGACAGACAGCCCCTCGGGCTCCCCTGCCTCCTAAAAGGCAGCCCCTGACAGTTCACACACGAGGGAGCGGCCCGCTCTCCCCAACTCAGCTCCACAGCCCCAGTCTGGGACACACTTCACATCCAGCCCCACAGTTACTTCTTACACATCTACCTCCCCGCTAGCACTGCTGCCCCCGAGGGGTCCCCATGCCACCGCCTCCTAAATGAGGGGTGCTGCACCCCCCATTTCAATCAGTGCTTTCCCCCAGCCCAGCTGTCCCTCCCCTCAAGTTGCCCCCCGTAGCCGGCCCAGCCCCTCTCTGCTGCCCCCAGCTCTGCAACCAGGGGCCCGAGCAGAGAGACTAAAAACTCAGAGTCATCTCTGCAGCCTGGCCAATGAGAAGCGGTTTGGCTTCCTTGCAGCACAGACCAGCTGCTGTGACCCAGCATATCCACATCATGTGATGGCTCACTGTCCTCTCTCAAGGCTTTTATTTTTTTTTTTAGTCCCCCGTGCCTAACCAAAATAACTCGGCTCCTCTTCCCTTCCCATTCAGATCAGGCCCAGCCACGATCCCTCCGAACTGCTCTGAGGTCTGTCACTGATGCAATGCAGCGTCAGCTGGCGTCAGCACTTCAGCATTCGCCTCAAGTCACACCTTTGCAGTCCGGTCACACAGCATCTAGCAGCTCTGCACAGAGCCCAGCTGGCTTCCTTCCCCAGCTCCCCCTACCCACAACGCTCCTCAGCACCAATGCTCAGTCTCCCCATTCAATTCCTCACCTAACTCGTAAGACGGGGATCTCTCTCTCCATAGCAGAAGGAACCTGGAGTTACTTGTCTGGGGGATCCTTTGGGTTTTTAAGCCAGGCATAGGCTGCTCCCCGGCGAGTCTCCGTGTTCCACAGGGACCGTGGAGCTAGCAAGGAAGCTGTCGGCTTCACGGGAAAAAGCTATTTATTCCCCTGCATTGGGCTGGAATGGAAACAGCAAGCAGCTGAGCTGCAGCTTTCAGCTTCCTCCTTCGAGTGGGTCACGGGGAAGGAACACGTAAAGCTTGGTTGCCAGCCGCATGATTTGGCTTATTTGCTCTCTCGTAGCAGGTGCTCAGCTCTGGCATACAGAGCTCCTGGCGGCTTCCGTGGTCAGTCTGATTCCTGAGCGACCCCCTCTGCCTCAAGCCAGACAAAAGCACAATTGTGACTTGCTCACGTTACCCAGGCTCTGTGTTTGCAAAGCTCAAGCAGGCACCTCGCTGCAGCTACTGGATGCCTGCTCCGGCTTCTTTCCTAGTAGGGGTGCTGCAGGGGTGCCCCTGGTTGGAGGCAGGACTGTAGGAAATGGCAGAAAAAGAAAGGCTATGGGGAAGCTCACAGCTTTGCCATTCCCAGCTCCACACCTCAGGAGATGCTACAGGGACTGATGCAGGAGCACTGGTTGCAAGGGAGCGCCCACCTACTCCAGTCCCAGGCTCTTGCAGTCAGATGCATTGCACTGGCTATGGCAGATTCCCAGGTGGAGGCGCAGCAGACAACAGAACAAGAGTGCTGGCAGTAGCAAGCTCATGGCCGCTCCACTTCCCGTTCCTCCAGCAGGAAGTGCTATGGGGAGCTAGGTAGCAAATCTGCTTGTTCTGGCCTCTACAGAGGAACCACTGTGCATCATAGCTAATGCTAGTAGCCCTGTTAAGCAGTAGATGCTGCAGAAGACGGACCGTAGAGGAGCTCACTCCATTAGCGAATAGTCTCCTCTGTTAGGAGGTGCTGCAGAGAAGAGTGGAGGGACAGTGGCCATGCAGGAGGTCTCATCTCATCTGGAGTCCAAAAGGAAGGGCTAGATCCTTTTCCGAAGGCTCCATCTTTCCATAGACATTGACTGTAGCTGCGAAGCACTCTGCTGGCTATTTCAATGCCATGGTTCCTCAATGTCCGTTGCCTAGGGACTGAATGGCTCGGTGTTGCTAAAACAGTTAGAACGGGGTTCACCCTGTCTAGTGCCACATGAACTGGACTGTAAGACCAAGATTGATAGTTAGTCAGGCTGCAGAAATAAGTGGATTATTTCCATTTAGAGCCAAAGATTTCTGACTGACATTTCAATCTTGGAGCCTGGGTAAGACGTTGCCCTTGTCTAATCGTTCTCCAGCAAGGCACTGGCTAGCTGGAGAGGTGAGTATCTGAGCTCCTGCTTTCCTAGCTGTCCCTCCTTTCAGATGGATTGAGACCATCATCCAGTACATTCCCGAGCCCACATCACCTGCAACCCTGGCCCATCTTACAGCCTCTTCACAGCTGCAGCCAGGCAGCTATCTGGCACAAGAGTGGGAGAAAAGCCAAAGCTGCCCTTGCAGCCTCAGCTGTAAGTCAGTCACTGGATCCAGTGCAAAGCAGAAACAGCAGTCTCCCCTCCCCCTCGAGTCTGCCTGTTTTATCACAGCTGTAATTAAAATGCCGTTTACTCCCTGCTCCAATGTCTCTCTCTGGTATAAGCCTCTTGAACTTGTCCCCAAAGACTCCCATCTGTCCTGCTTTATAATCACCCTCGCTCCCAGTCAGATCACGCCAAACCCAAACGCATGCGCTGAGTTTTTTTGTCTGGACA